ATGACTCCCCCCAAAGTTTTGTTTTTGGGTTTGCACTGCTACCTTCTTGGTCCTCTGCTCAATCTAGGTCCCTTGTCTCATCTCATCTGGAGAAGCACAAATCCAATTTATATCCATTTCAAATACTGATATTTTGGCTTTTCACCATCAACTGTTATAGCACAACTTTGTATGAGTGAAATCAAATATGGCATTCTGTGTTCATTAAGATTAACCAGTGAATGATCATATCCATTGAAAAGCCATAGCAGGATATTGGCTGTATCAATATCAAAATGAAATACCTAAAAAAAGCATAATTTCCTGTATCAGATATTCAATACCAGTATCTGTGGATATAGTCCCATCCCTATTAAATTTAAAGTTACCAATTTGAAACATCATGCTTGCACATACTTTCAAACAAGGCCATGTCAGTGAAGTGTCTTGCCAAAGGACTCAACACTTTGCATTAGTATGACAGCATACCCCTGGAGCAACAGGTTTTACACTGGTCAAGACATAGTGAAGACTTTACTTTTCTACCATCTGAGATTTTGAATAGCCGGTATTGTCATAAGTTCAGAAAGCTAGAAAATAGCTGGGGTTTTTTTTTAAAGAAGAAAAAAAATTAATTTCAACGAGTGGATATTTACTACAGTCCTGTCAGATGACCCCAGGATTGACACAGGCTGGAGGTGGACACATAAAAGCAGTGTCAAATGGGCACCGTAAACAAAAGAGACTGAACAGCAACTTACAAGCAAGGCATTAGTTTTTTCTGCCAAAAGATCAGAAAATGTGAGGTTTGACAAATAAAAACAGTCTTCCTGGAACTTCAGGTAGAATTACTGGACATAAAAAGGTTGCAATAATTCAGTCTAGACTCACATGAATTACCTGAGTGAGCGGTAGAAGGCAATCTACAACAAGTCAAACGTGTGCACCATTTATTTCAAAGAGCAGCAACAAGGAGCAGTATAACCTAAAAGTATAAAGTATGAGCTGACAATTTTTAAACTGAAAACAAAATTACCTTTCTTTTAACAAACATTTTTGCTATGTTACCATGTAACTAATCACTTATTTATCAATAACGATAAAACACTGGCTCAACATCATCATAGTCCTAGTATAGTATTTCGGAAATGAAAGCCCTCCTGGCAACTGAACATATGTCCAATATTGGCAAATCAAAGCAATTTATCTGACAAATATTGTAAACATGTCTTCAAGACTCCAAAATACATACATTTCACAACTTTTTGCAGAGCTACAAACTCAACATAAGGTATGGGCCATGTAACTATTATGGGCACACGTTTTTAAAGCCAGATATGTCCGAAAAAGCTGTTAATCTTCATTATGACAGTTGTTTAAAGAAATTAATATAGTCAATTTAAGTGAAAATGCCTTTGCAGCATAAATATAATCACATATTAAGAATAAAAAGGTAGAAGTAAGTAAAGAACAAAGATTGTGTATAGAGATGCACTGATCCAGCTTTTTTACTACCGATACCAGAGCTATGGGTATCTGCTGATACCGATATTGACCGATACCGGAAATGATCATGCTAAAATGTATTTAATAATTGAACTCTTTGTTCACGTAACTGCAAAAGCAGTGGATGAACTAAAACGCTAAACTTTCCAGATAAAAATGGATTCAACATAAATGTGCAATAATGCAACTATAAAGAGCTGCTCAATGTTCACATTAAACATTCAAACACTGTATTATACCTTATACATTTATTGAATAAAATGTACTTATATTAACTGTGTTTGAATAAAAAAACACTTACAACAAACAAAACACGCTGCATGAAAATGTAAATAAATAATAGTACCGTAGCTTTAACTGGATTTCAGATATGTATTTGGCGACGGCATGTACCTGGGTTCCAAATGGTCTATGCGGCTGCGAGCCCAAACTGATGAACTCCAACACTTTCGGGGTTGTTGCTGAAAAGCTTTTTGTGACGCTGCGTCAGTGTCATCTGTGTCTCGTTGTTTTCACGTAATCTCCTTTCGATGCAAAAACTCCCCATGCTGTTTCTCGTGGTGCTTAGTCGTGTTGTATTTTTCTAGTTTACCGCCGCGTGAACAACGCTCTTTCTGCGCTCCATGCTGTGTTGTTGTTGTAGAGCGCCACGAGGAAGTGACGTGTACGCGAGATCTGATAAATTACTTTTAATTAATTCATTTTATACGTATATGTACATTATGCACAATGTATTTTAAGACATTGTGCGGTACCTGGTATGTATTAAAAAATATATATAATTTTAAAAAAAAAAAAAAAAAAAAAAAAAATTGATCGGCAGCACGGCGCCTCTCTCTACGCAGATATCCGATCCAGTATTTTTTCTGGTATCGGCGCCGATATCGATACCAGTATCGGATCGGTGCATCCCTAATTGTGTATCAATGGCGGGACAAAACGGGGACAGAGCAATAGTTTCAAGAATTCTGGAAAGCATAAATTCCTGAAATATCTAAAACCAGCTTTAGGTCAGTGTATAAAAAGAGAAACAGACAGTGAAAGGCTCTTAAAATCACCTTCAATGCTTCAATAAACAGCAACTAAATCAATAAATCATAAGAATAATTGATTATCAAAATATGAATAATTGTTATTTACAGCTCTATTTAGTTTGAAGTCTCTTTGGATACACTGCAAATTGTGAGCATTCAATTGTGATTTTGCAGCAACAGAGCACTTAACCCTATAGGAGCACACGGGAAAAGCAATGAGCATTTTCAAAAGAGTCACATGCACTTATGAGATGCATGCTTGAATGTATTGTATTCAGTAGACATTCATTCTTTTTACTATAAAATTAATTCCAATTAATTAGCTTGTCTAAAATTAGCCACCAAAATGAGGAAGCAATCCCACGCTATCAGCTAAGCACGCCCATGACACATGACATAACAGCGGAGTAAAAACATTGCATCTGTTATCACTGAGCACACGGATATAGGTGAGCACCGTTGACATGGTTACAGCCAGTGTTGGTGTGCAAGTAAATTAGGCTATTGTAAACCGGCTGGAAAAAAAGGCACTGACACTTGGCTGACACCTTGTGCGCTTGTAAACACAACTGCAGCCAGAATGGAGCTGCTCACATGGCCATGAGACGTTCAGGTGCACGGGGCTTATTAAAGGGACCATACCTATTTTATACCAACAATACACATTTATGTATGCATTCCAAGGCCAGTCACAATAACAAATGATGATGAGCATGACAGCTACAGAAATTGGTGAGATAAACACAATATAGAAAATGCTATACTGACAACAGCAGGCCGATTACAATAATCACATCATTATTATTCAATAACAGGGATGTATTGAATAACATAGCCTGTGGTTCAACTTTGCACATTTCCTTTAAAATCATGGGAAGATAGGGGCCATATTTTTAAGAATATGAAAATAATTCAGCTCTAATAACTCATCACTTAGTGGTTCTTAGTTTCAGATAAAGGCATATTTCATCTTTTTATATAATAACTGTTTTACTGTGTTTTTTTAAATTGTGTCAGTGCTAAAACCCAGTTCAAGATCATAATCTTAAATGATTTCATTAAGTAATTCTTCGTCAAATTTGGGAAGCAAGTATACTAAACAAAGCAGGATAAAAGATATGCAGAAAACACAAAACAGACACTTAAGCTTAAAATGCATGCATTATAAATGTATTATTACACCAGTTGATTACCTTGAGTCAAAGAGTATTAAAAAAATCTACCATGCATTAGTTATAAAATAAGGTAATACTATTATGACAAAAACAGGCCTATGTCAAATTATAAATTTATTAAACACTTAAGATGTGACTCAGCAAATGTGACATTTAATGAGCAACTAATTGAACCTAAATGAAGCCACAGGAGAGCCGTCATGTAACAGAAGGAATGCATTATTGCAGAAGGAACGCATAAAAACAATATAAACTCTTGATAATAGTTGATAAGAACATTTGGAACTTCCCCTGTATAATAAACCAATGAAACAAATGCATTAGATTATTCTTCAAATTAAATTATGCACACGATGCGTTGGAAAATGGAAAAGAAACAGAGAATATGTTGTTTTGATATGGCAGAGGCACACGGATCTGGACAGGGGGGGCTGTTTTTCTGCAGCCTTCCATTAGATGCAATTATAAATGGCCGAGAGCACAGGGATGGGGAGCCAATCAGATTTCGGCTCGCATGTCAACCTAAGACCAACTGTCTCTTGGCTCTGACAGGCGGATTTTACCTCCATAATTCAAATCCCAAACCAATCTGCTCTCTCCCCACTCCGAGCTGCGCCTCCGTGTTTACAACAAGCACACGCGTGGAAAAGACGGCAAACACCGAAAAGCCAGCCACAAATGAATGAAAGCCTCCACGGAAACGATTCACACTTTGATCTGAGTAAACACTGAGCTGTGTTCATTGTGGTCATTCGCTGATGTCCGAGAGTCCTCTGCGTCCACAGTGACCAGGCCATCACAACTACGCTTAATGATTATGCAAATGTACTAAACCGCTGTCATTAGCATCTTGTTTACGGCCTTGACAGCTGACACAACTTTGATAGCTCCCGGTGAAGGCTTAAAAGTGAGCACACACATTTCAGGAAGGTTTTGCTTTGAGAAAGAGACTCACTTTCCTACAATAATCTGAAGGACAGAGAAGAATTATCTTATCACTCCGAGCTCACACTTTCCCTTGACAAACTCTTACTGTACTTAGTCAAGCTCTCGTCCTGTACGTGCCACAAGCACACATAACTACCGAAGACTTTCAAAGTTGTTTAAATCCGAATATATGCCCTGTTTTTCACTCTAAACACTATTGCAGGGGGTGGTATTGAGAGAAAGAGAGAGGCAGCCATTTTAGAGCTCTTGCTACATAGACAATGGCTGATCCAAAGCAAAAAGCAACTCTTGTCTGCCTTTTCTGGGCAACACCTTGGCTTTACTAATGTGGAAGCATGTCAGGAGACGTGGTGTTTACCTGTGTTCTGTTCGGTGGTTGTCCAGTGTTCCCTGGGCTCATAGGAGGAGGATGGTGGACCCTTTGTTGCCAACCCGGATGGACCCCAGCATACTGACTGCTACCCATATCTCCAGGTCCCTTGTTAGCCCCGTCCTGATTGTTATAGTCCCCCTGTGGGTAATTCGGATAACTCCTGGTCGAGCTGGGAGATGTCAGAAGCTGGTTTAAAGTTGGTGTAGATGTAGGTTGTTGGTTTCCCATATTATACCTCTGATTATTATAAGAAGCAGCCATGGCAGCGGTTCCTCCTGCTGGCTGTTGCTTGCCTGGCTGCCCCCCAGCCGCCGGAGGCTGACTATTACGTGGGGAATTCATGGCCCCGTAGCCCTGGCCCTGGTAAGAAGTCCTGTTCGGGAACGGGCTGTAATTGTTGTAATGATTGGGGTAGCCGTGTTCGTGTGAATTAGGGGGATATGGGTCCATCATGCCCGGCCCCGATGCAGCTGCCATGCCAGGGCTTTGTTGTCCGCCATGTTGATGAAAAGGGGGCCTGAAGTGCTGGTTGTAACCGTACGGAGGTGGGGGAAAGGGGCCCGAATGATGGTGTCCCATTCCGGGATGGTTATTCCCCTCGGGTCCGCCAGAATCATTCTGGTTACTGTTATTATTATTTACCCTGGGCAAATTGCCGTTCTTCATGTCAGGATCCCCTCCTCCCCCAGCGTTCCCAGCATTGGTCCCGTCCTGCAGATCCTTCTGCCCGGGAGAGCCCCCATCGGAGCCAGCTTCCTTCTTCTCATGCTGCTTCTCCCCCGTCACCGACTCGTCCTGTGGGTCCCGGTCCGGCTTTTTGAGTTCGGATGGCGGGCTAGTATTGAGAGTGGCGACGCTGGCGACCTGAGCGGCCATATTCCTCTGTCTCCCAAGTCGATCGCAGCCTCTCTCAATCAGCGACTCGACTACTCACAATAAAAATCCCAAGAACCATTGAATATAAATACAGGGATATTTAGAAGAACGTACCCGCTGGCCCGGTTCATTCCCCCTTTGCCCTCCGCCCGGACTGGTATCCGGTAATCCACAGCGACTCCGTTCAAGTTAAAACAGAGAGGAGAAAGTTTGGAGTAAGAAAAAACACATGAAAACAGAGCCAGGGGTGCAAATGTTGGCAATACAAGTGGGTGAGAGTGTGATGTAGGGGCTTCTGTTACAGGACGAGAGCGAGAGAGCTGATATCAACCAAACCAGCACGAGGCTCCGCGAGACACAGCCATTTTACCGAGTTGTCGCGAGAAAATAAAGACCCGGAACGGACCATACCTGCGCCTGGATCTGGACTCCACTGAACTGTGTAGCAACAGCATCAACAATGTTTACATGTACCAAGAGACATAGTGTAAGACCTAAAGCATTTACATACAAATGCGTGTTAGATAAGCAACGCCATCTATTTTGATTATACAATTGCTTTAAAACGTGGCATTGTATTTCTTTTTGTTTATTAGTATTGTGTTTGATTGTTATCTGTGAAGGTTCAAAACAAATAGATAGGTATTATTAGGCCAACAACATAGTAAATATATCTGTTCAAATCTATCCATGGGTTTTCAGGATGACCGATGCCTTAGTGATTAAAAAACGCATATTATAAATAGTATTACGTTTTTAATGGGAAAAAGTTCCTAAAAATTCTGAATGAAACAGAAAGTAAGCCAACATTTTTTCATATAATTGTTATATATATACATACATAATAATTCATATCCCTGTGCATAGCCTGCAAGTTTCAGCTCCACATTCTGCCTTGAAGTCAGCTATAACTATTCAACCATTCTGATTACAAAAATGAATTCATGCTTGAGTTGTGTGCTCATATTTGTTACATTCATTTCTACTCTTTATCTTATTAGCTCGTTAAAGGAGTGGAACAAAATCGGCTACAATGTCATCTTCTGTTAGAGTGCACTAATGGGTAGAAATGACTGCTCCCATACTGCTTCCATGTGTCGACAACAGCAAATGAGGGGAGTGAGCACAGTGGAGGGAAAGCATGAAATTACAACCTGTGCATGTCAGTGCAGCTCCAGAGTGTGTTAGTGCTGGAGAGAGGACAAAAAGGATGGGGGATGGACACAAAGAATTAAGAGAATATAAAAATGAGACCGTTATGTTGGACAAAGTGTAAGATTATAAGCTATACTAAAAGTGCAATGTAGTGCTGTTGGTTAAAGTCACATCTCAACTACTAGTACAGGCAGGAGGCATGAAGTCGTCCTATACAATTAGCAGAAGTAGAAAGCCTGACTCTCCCCACCCCCTTTCTTCTCTGGTGCTCGGAGAGCAGCAGAAGCCTTTGTGCTACCTTCAGGTGCTGCTGTAATTATCACGATCACGCCAAAATAATTCCCGCTTAAATTATTAGCGGGAATTATTAGCGGGAATTATTTTCCAGTTGCTATGACTGTCATATGTTTTCTGTTACTAAACACTAATATCAAGCAAATACATAATTAGAATGATTATATCAATAAAAATAAATAAAACTCCCAATCATACTAGGTAGGGAAATCTCAAATATCCTCTACTAGAGTAATGGTACAAAATAACATGAAATTCAGGTTCATGCATAAATCCACTGTATGTTCTAGCTGGGTATAGGTGAAAAAAAGACAAACAAATGCAAAACAAGCATGAAATGTACAGCCAACTGTAAATAATACATAGAATGAAAGACATGTGAGTTTTTGAATAATTTAAACATAAGATTAGGTAGATTTACTAGCAATGCTTGTCTCTATAGTGAGTTTACTTTTGTTGGAAACACAGAATGCAGTGATAGTCCACATTCACGAGCTTTGCGACGAGCACTTGAATGCAGCATCACTGCTTGCAAAAGCGGCAGAACTTTGCTATGTGAATGTGGGGGATGGGAAGCAGCACAGCCTGTTCTGTTGAGTCCTTTCTCTCTACAATGCAGGGCTTTCTGCACTTCTGCATTAGCTCACTCGATACAGAGTAAAGATATGCTCATTTTGACTCAAAATAAAACCAAAATATCTCTCTGTACTTTCGATATTTGTGGTGCTTTTGTGTGTTAAATAAAGGAGAATGTGCAGGGTGGAGGGGTAGCTCAGCTGCTGTCTGCTTATACAGGCTAAGGGAGGAGTGTGTGTTTGAACACAGTGCAGAGACAAGGCAGTGAGAGGGGAGGGGGTAGGGAGCTTCATTTTCTTTTTACCATAAACTTGGTGTACGTTATCAAGGGGTGCAGTCTCTTCTTCTCTTCTGTTATTTTGGAGCTCCCATACAAAGGCCCACCTCATTATACTTTCTATGCAGCACTTGCTTTGCCCTTTATAAGATGTTGCTTCAAAAATGCACCCCTTTGAGTATCTCACCTTGAACAATATTTATCGGTTATTCGGCTGTGTGTGCGCTTTTGAGTTGCTGCAAAATGACTTGAAAGCAGTGAGATAATGTGGTACGTTAAATCTCAGTAGGAAGCGCAACAACAGGATGCAAAAGACCTCGTGTGCAGAGTTTCATGCATTTATTTATGTGATAATTGTTTTACAAGTATCTGGCACTCTTAAGAGTTGTTTTGAGGTGGACCAGACACCAGTAGCTACAATGACCTATGCCCAACTTGGACATTATTCAGAAAAATATATTGTAAACTATTTATTGTTTTATGTATTGTTATTATTGTTATCATATTCTTTCTCCCTCTTATGTTGACTATGAAGAGACCAGCTGATAGTATATTACAGTTGGTATCACAACTGCTGCTCACATGCAGTCGCTGTTACCACCCACAGATGATAAATGACTTGACAAAAGTGATACAGTGAAAAGTTCCCACAGTAATTCTCTGTCGTAATCCTGTCTGGCTCATGCAGAATACGCCTCACACTTCCCACATGATCTTATAATGTTGTGCCCTCCATCTATTGTCTCCGGAAGCACTATTCAAAGCTATGGGAGCTATTTTGAGAAGCTGCTGTTGTTAGGAATTCTTAAAGCAAAGGGTATATTTCCTATATCCCTCCCAGGATGATGATTTAGGAGTGTTTACTATTGTCTTACCTGTGCCTTCCTCAGAAGATGACCATGATGCATCACCTTCGCCTTAATGCACCAGCTTCTCTTAACACGATCAGATGTTGACATTTTCTTCACCATCACAGCAGTTATTTCTCTGAATCCAGGAACAGTTGTTGAATATTTATTTATTACTTTATGTATGTATTTGAATTATGATTTCCAATTAGTCTTTGAAAGACTTACTAATATATATGTGTTTAATTTGGTGTTCTTAATGCTTTGGACCTGTGACAATTGTGTGTTTTTTTGTTGCTTGAAAAATTAAAAGATTTCAAACAGAACACAGAAAAGCAGAGACTGTTTGACATCCAGAAATAATAGAATTTCACAATAGAAGAAATTTGACTCATACAGGGTCCACTCTTGTAGAGTTATCTTACTGATGGTCCGACTGATCTTTACAGAGTTTTTTTTCTCTTTTTATGTAAAATCCTGTGACATCCAATCTGGGAATGGAGCCATACCGTCTCCAAGGCAACCCAATAATGTGCCGTGGAATTTCCTAACAAGAGCTGAGCTGATTTTGGACATGCACAGACGCACAACTCACGTGCACAATGGATAAACACAGCCCAAACCTGACATTAATATGTGCACTGTGAATTTATGGCAACATTGAGGCGGTCATTAATGGTCATTTGTGCCAACAATCTGCAGCAGCAGTTTGTCAATGACTGTCTTGGCCACACACACTAAAACAACACACAATTACAACAGTTGGGTGCAGTCCAAATGGTTGCCAGGCAGCAGTACGACGCCTAGTCTGGAGTGTGTAGAGGAAGGAAGTGGCACTTGGTGAAGTGTAATGGGCGTCCGGCAACTTCCCAGACAGTCTGCATGCTGGGCCATGCAAACTAGACTACAGTATGTTTACAAAATATTAAACGGAATTATAACCTACAAAAACATAAGGAAATATGTATTGTACTTCTCACAAAGCACAGGTCACAAAAATCGTCAGAATCCCCAAACTCCACAGCAGGTGGTAGCACGGTGGCTGAGTGGCAGCTCATGCCTCACAGGTTCAAACCCATAGACTGTAAAAATTAACGGACGTAGTCACGCCTATCTCCGCCGTTCTAACTAATGGGCCAAAAATAGTGCTCTACTGGATCTATCCAAAATGGCCACGAGTGGTCCCGCCCACAAGAAAATTGTGAAAAAACGCATCTGCGCATGCGTCAGCCGGCGCAAGCTCCATTCATTGGAACGAGAGACTTAAAAAATTCACAGCGAGTAAAACTAGAGTGGTCCAAAAAAATTCACTCCCCTCAGCATTGACACACATGTGGAACGGAGCTTTGGGCCAAGAGCCAACTTTTGGACCATCCTGTAAAGACGTTTTCTGCCAATGCTATATGTTATCATTGGCTAATTCTTATTCCGGGTCCACCCCCATCGGCCCGGGTTGGTATTGCAAGCATGTCAGCGCACATCATTTTGGCCACTTTTGAGCCGGGACCCGCCCCCACTGTTCGAACCCCGCGTCTGCCTGGATCTTTCTGTGTAGAGTAAAATCCACACTCCCCCTTCATCTGAAATATGCGACAGAATCCTCCAATGAGAGGAGCCTAACTCCTGACCAAGTCTAATTTCTGAAGATAGGTCCCACTGCAGCTTGCACTGCTCCTGACAGGTTGCCCTAATGGCATTGGAAGGAAGGGTCAAATGCAGAGAAAAAAGATCTCTCAAGATTGTCCTCGCTCTCTGAAGAAAAGCTTGCACAATTGTGATAAGTTCAATTGTATTGCATGTATCACACGGCAAGTGTATGAAGGAGCATAAAATGTCCCCATAGTGGATTA